AACCCACGGGGCTGTGTTTCTGCTCCCACAGATCCTTCACCGGAAGAAACTTCCGGGTCTCCCTTCAGGGCCCATTAGCTTAACAATTCACTCCTCCATTCACCTCGCTCCTCCCCAGTTTCACTGTGAGCATCCACATGGGAGTGCTCCCGGGCACACGTCAGCATTTCGCTTTGGCAGCTCAACCGCCAAGCGTGCTATTATGTGGCTCGTATGTTCTGCGTTCCACCAACGTCTGGACACGGTTCAGCCACGTTCTCTGCCACTTCGTTACAAGGGTCATGTTCTCTCCCTCATACAATGCCTCGTTCTTCATTCCTGCCTGAGGTCCCGCAGGAGTGGACTTGCCCGTCTGCATCTCTACCCGCAGCCGGTGCACACACAGCATCTTCCGTTTGGCATCTCCAAACTCTTCCAGCCTCTCCCGCGTCTTGGGTATTGGTTCGGGCAGCAAAGTCTGCAATCCTCTGCTCCGGCTTCTCTGACGAACATCACAGACTACAGAAGTCTCCATGAGGTGCCAACAGGGCTGGTGTCTGGTGGGGGCTCCCCCCACCCCGGGGGGTTGCAGACAGCCTTTCCTTGGTGTGAGCACGTGGAGAAAGACGCACACTGAGCTCCCTGAGGGCCACCCTTACAACCTCATTCAATCCTAATTACTTCCTTAGGTGCCCCATTTCCAAATACAGCCAGGCGGGGGATGAAGGCCTCAACATATAAATTTGGGGGAAGAACATAAGCATCCAGTCCCCTAACATTAATAAAGCCACAAACATTTATTATCGAGTATTCCCAGAATGTATAAAGTCCTAGCAACACTCGAGAAGAAATAGAGAAAAGACACCAGCATCAGTAATGAAATACGGGACATCGCTACAAATCCCACAGACTTTTATGGTGTCAACCTAAATGAAAGAGGTAAACCGAGGCAAGCCCGAATTACCAAAAACGGAGTATATTTGGGAATAGGGGAGGAACTGTACTTCAGGACGTGAAAACTGTAGCACGCGATCTACTGGAGTCTGTTGAGGGTTTGGGGCAGGCTGGGCATCTGGGGAGGAAGACAAGGGGTAGGGAGTTCAGCTAGAGACCAAGCAGCAACTTTCCAGCTTGAGTCTGGGGAGGAGCTCTCGGTGGATGCCCCTTGGTCAAGGGATGGGTTTCCCTTTTCTGTAAAACCAGGCATTTACAGGAAATCAGTCTCTCTGACCTTGAGCATCATCTGCTAAGGACACACGCATGAGGTTCTGAATTTCATACCGTCCAGTTCTGTCCTAGACGGAAAGGAACATTATACTTTAGTCTCCCACATAGACTTAGATGTAAAATAACTTTTAAAAGGGGGGAAATGGGGTGCCTGGGTGGCTCAGTAGGTTGAGCGTCTGACTCTTGCTTTCAGCTCAGGTCACGATCTTGGGGTCGAGACATTGAACTCCACGTCCAGCTCATGCTGGGCTGAGCATAGAGCCCGCTTGGGATTCTCTCTCTCCCTCTGCCCTACCCCCCTCCCTGCCCATGCATGTTCTCTCTCTCTCCAAAAAAGTAAAAAATAAAAAATGGGGGGAAATACCTGATTACAACAAACATTACTGCTCAATTCACATAGGTAATGGGTGGTAGAAAAATATTTTAATAAAGATCAGTTTTCCCCCAACAGATCAGGACTTTGATCTACCATTGTTCCCTACAGCTTACAGGCAGGACCCAAAACAGGGAGGACGGCTCTGCCCCAGGAACAAGGGGCATTAAGAAGCTAGGAGGGACACACAGGGATGTTCCCAAGAAAGGGGGTATGGACAGTGTCACAGGAAAATAGAGAAGTTCATGCAGGTAGTGATAGAGAGAGAGCCCACATCCGGGGCCATGAGAAGGGTTGTGTTTCCTTCCCCATTTGCCTGTATTTCTCCTCAGGGCTCATTGCCACCGTGACCTCGACCTGAGCTGAGCAGAGACGTCACACGTGTGTCTGTGCTGACATGAGCTCCCCAGCACAGCAGGAA